TTTCACTTTAACTCATCGAGGCCCAACTAAATTACTTGTGTACAATTACAAAAACTAATACACTCTACAATAAGGTGTACCGTGTAGTTTTTGATTTTGAATGTATACTGTTGTGTACTTGGTTTTAAATTTGGCGTTGCATTATCGTAGTAAATAAAAATAATTGTAGTAAAACTGAAACATTTATAAAATAAATATTTCCTGAATCGATAAAAAAAAATCCGTTAATTCAGTGTTATTCACCACGCTCCGCTAGTTCAGTATTTACTAAATAATCATAATGTGAAAGTTAACCATTTATCATATAACATTACATTGATCTCTGACTGTATCTGCTATCAATTATATTTGAAAACTATTTAATGAAATAATCTATTTTGTTTTCTACATTTCTTCAAACATATATAAACATAACAAATCATTAAATAAATTACAAATTTCAATTTTAATTTTAAATAATAATTGATCTTTGCCTGTTATCAATGTAATAGTAATATACAAAATTCTACCAAAACAATATTAAAGTTAACCTTTTTTTCAAACAAAATATCTGTTGGACGTACGCCAAATAGTACGTTTGCAATGTATTACAAATATTTTTTAGTGTGCTATGTTTTTACAATTTGTATCTAAGTACGTCATATTGTTTACCCATATAATAATATGTTTAAGTCATATGTAAATAATACAGCGTTTTTTCTATTTTTGCTTACAAACAAATTTTATGATTCGCAAAAACATTTCGAAAAAACACGTACATTGTTTTGTAAAAACACATGAAAACATCGCCGATGAATAAACTTGTTAAAGTAGATTACCTAATTGATAACGTATTCAACTTAATAATGTATTTTAATCTAGCCGTTTTATTGTTACCCATAATAGTTGCTACTTGTTTCTGGAAAAATGTTCAAACGGTCCAACCCGAGGAAGAAAATTTACTGCAAGTTAATACAAAATATTTACACGATGGTTTAGGAAGCTCATCAAACATGTTAGATACAAGTCCGGAAACTGCAAAAGGTAAGGTCCACGAACAATTCTTATGTGGTTTCTTGTTCAATAGCTGTCATTACTTGAATTTAATCAAAAATCTAATGGCCGAAGAAGCTTTGATAGAACACAAAGATAACAGTGTATTTTTCTTTTCGGAACAAACTCTTGAATTTATAAACATTGTATATAATATTGGTGCAAATATTTTTTTTGATCCATTTTGGTTTATGTATATGTACGCGGAGTGCTTACAATCTCTTGCAATGAAGAAAACTAGCGTCGACAAAATGAAGAAAAGTCCAGTTATTTTGGTCGATCACGACGTTGTCTACCAGACACTTACAAATTTCACTCAAGAATATTGCAAAACGGAAAACATCTACAATGACCAATACGACGGGTCCGAGTATGATAAAATATTGAAAACGCTCCGAAATTCGCCAAAACCCAAAAACAAAACAAAGCAATATATTAATGAATTAAAAACATTAATAAATGAAAGGATAAATACATTTAGTACTAACACGGCAGTCAAATCTCATAAAGTATATTTTATATTGCCCCATTTACGTGTATATGCTATCATGGGTATTGACAATATTATGAAATCATTGCTGAACGTTTACGCAAAGGTCTCGGATTGGAGAGGTATAGCTGAAAATATAGGAAGAATATGTTACAACGAAAAATTTTTCAAATTCAATTCAGTTCAGTCACTGGTCGAAGACATAAGCGATTGTCAGGGTATTTTCATAAATATTATTAAATATATAATTATTTTTTACACGTGGAACCATTTAAATGATTTGGTTGCAATTGACTCTGAAGATATGATAAAACAATACAATAACGAGATGTCTGAAAATTATTATGAAGTAATTAATTTTTTTCAGCTTAAAGAAGAAGATGAAGAATTAAAATGTATTAGCGACTTGTATAATATGTCACCGATTACTTTTCTTGATCTGCAGAATATTATAAAATATAAAACTAAAATGTTGGGCTTACTTGACGATGTAAAAACGAAAATATCTGTTTTTTTCATGAAGAAATTACCACTTTCTAGTCTTGACTATTATATTAGACAAAAAATGAATACTACGTTTTCTGATAGCAAAAACTTTAGCAAATTTGTAGATTTTATTAAAACCGATATACATTACAAACGTTTTGATATAATTAATTTGTTTTCTCGATTCTCAAAAAATATTCATATGTATTATTAATTATAATGTGTATAATATGTTGTTTAAATTTAAGAAAGACTATGGAAAATAAATGATTGTTTAATTAAATAACTCTATTTATTTTTGTAGTATTATGAATAATAATATTATCAATATAATATAATTAATTTGTGTAGGTTGTGGAAGTTATGGCATTGCCATAATACGAATAGTGTACGTACAAATATAGCAAGAATATTTTACAACAAAAAAATATTCAATCTGTTAAGGTCTTAACTAACACACAATTTATTAATATATCTTCAATTTAATTCCTTTCAGATAATTTATCTAGTCAAAGACATAACTACTTGTCAGGTGTTTGTCATAAATATAATTCTACTCAATTCGCGGAGTCATTTAAAATAAGTAATGTTGATTATTTTTGAAGATATAATAGACCCATACATGTATAACGAAATGTCTAAAAATTATTATCAATTATACCGTTAGTTTTATTCAATTTTTAGACATTGCCGAAGAATTAAAACATTTTTAAATAGTTGTTTTATCTTCACGTTATGAAATAATCAAACATGTTGGTTGTTTATTGTTAAAAAATCGTTCAAAATAAAAATAAAAATTCATTCGGAAATGGTAATATTGTGTTTTGAGCAAAACAGTATAAATCCAGCTGTTGTAGATCCAAGGTTCTTTAACGGGTGTGCAGTGTACTCAGTTGTTAACAGTATCACACCGTCAGTACTCGAAGTTTAATATGCAAAGACTATAAACGAGTGTTGTACGGACCGAATGGTTGTATCATTGAATTAAGTGCAGTAAAAATATTAACAACATGCAGATAATATTATATTATATGATTTTATTGACACTAATTGAACGGTGGACCAAATGAATCGCACAATTTATTAAAATGATATCGTTGAGTATAAAAATCCAATTTATTCAATATGCTCATGTTTTAGCTAGATGAATTTTATGTTTTTTTTCAAATAAATAAATAAACGAGTAAATTAAGTTAAAAAAATTGTTTATTGTTTCAAGTCAAAAATCTAAACAATTTTTTTTTATTCATTTAAATTATGTTTGTAATTATTGCCAAAGTATATTAAAAACAAACCTATGAGGTGGATTCTAATTTCATTTGGATTTTAATAAAACTATATATATTTTTCAATATAGTTGTACATAATATCAGTTTTTTTTAATATTCTTACTCCGTTACTGTGTTATTTTATTATTATAAATGTTTAATGGCGAGGCGATGAGGGGGGAGGGATAGGTTAGGTTAGGTTATGTATTTCCTGTTCGATCGTTTCAAGTACTTCGATTGGGCGGGTATAAATAAATTACCTGCTAGATAAATAATAACAATAAAAGAGCGGTACTATCTAGTTTAAATTACTTAATTCGAATGTAGGCAAATGTGTTTGAATACTAATTAACAGACAAAGGTTAATGAGGCAATAATTATAGTTCATTTAAATTACTATTAGTGGTTATTTTATGAAATATTAAATAATCACAAGGAAGTTAATTTTATCAATACGAACATTTTCGTTAATAATTCTGATAACATCATATATTATTATACATAAAACTTTCAGTATGAATTGTATTAACCTAAAAAATATTTCAATAATTGTAAAGTGATGTATCTCCATATAGTTGAATTTTAGTGTAAATTCTAAAATTCTTGTAAAAATTGATAAAATTCATATTTTTGTTTTTAATTATAATTTTTATACAACACAATTTTTGAACCATATCGAATTTAACTAATTGGTATGTTCTAATACTAAAGTTACTGAGTATCCAGCGACACAGTAGTGGAGGAGAGCTAAGTAAAAAAAATAGCGTAGTGTCCACCGCTGTGTATACTATAAACGAAGCATCGCAATACCATTAAACGCGTGTAAATTTTACCATACATTTTGTCACCGGATTCTGAGTGAACGACTGATCATATGAAATATCAGTAGATTGAAAAAGTTGTACAGAAGGGACCCGGCAAATTAGGTAGATTGGTTGAATACTTTTTTAATTACAAGCAAAATAGTACAACATTTCTGAGATTTCGAGATACTTGTTTTTGTCAAAAAACTATTATGACCGCGCGGTGCCAGGCATTGTTATGTCTACAGCAACGACGCTTGCTGGCGATTGTTGTGTATTATGCTGTACCTTGTGGTATGTTGTTTTTGGGTTTAAACTTTAATTTGCTAATGTTAATACAGGCGGTTAATACTATTATCTGTGTACTAGTGTGTGTGCAGTAGTGTTATTATGTAATTATTGCCTTGTGCTTACAAAAGTTGTGTGTATTAATAATATTATAACATCAATATTATTATTGTGTTATTATTTTAAAACAATTTTTGGTTAGTTTGTGGTTAATGTGTTTAACGCTAATAATAAATTATGGTTTTGTCTTTGACTAATAAAAAACAAAGATTACTTAGAAGAATAAGATACGAAAAAAAAAAAGAATTGAGAAAAAAAATTAATTAAATAACGAAAATAATAAAAAAATATTGATTAAAAAAAATGTTATTACTAAAACTAATAATAGTTATAATAATAAAAAAAAACTACTAATATCCCAACAAAAACACTTCGTTAACTCTGTGTAAAAGGTCGCCAAGTAAAAAAAAAATAAGAGTTTCAATATATCCCTTTAGCGGACTATATACAAAATACAAACAAATATAAACTGATTACTTGACTAAAATATTATTATTAGTAGGCATGGATTACTCTTTAAAAGAAACTGTTCAATACTAAAATTACTAAAATGTATATTATAATGTAGCTATAAAGTAACTAAAGAGTCTGAGCTCAGTATTGTCTTATTCATGTTATGCCATTATTTTTAAAAATACATTTTGATTATTTAATACTAAAAGGGGCAACTATTAGGATGGCAGTTGGCTGACATTACTAAAACATAGTAAGCTTAATATATAAATAATATTAAGTAATAATTATTTATTAAGAACGGGTTACAGAGATTTGATACAACTAAATAAATCACAATATTATAATACAGATAAAAATCTATCTTACAGTTTAAATAATAATGACTAGATGGCTTTAAATTTTAACCAAATTCCACCAATTGGCGATAACGTTGGCGTTCTTACATTATAAGCAAGGGGCACGACCGTTTTTTCACAAGGTTCCACTTCATATTTGGTAAGTAACTCTGCCAGAGCCAATTTCATTTCCATTTCAGCAAAACGTTTGCCTGTAATAAAATATAACTATTGTAATATTAAACGATTTGAACATACATTATGTTCGATATTTACCTAAGCAAAGGCGCGGTCCTTCGCCAAACGGTATGTAAGTACAACTCGGTCGTTTATCTTTTTCTTCTTGAGTAAATCGTTCGGGGTCAAATTTTTGCGGTTCAGGATAATATTTCGAATCCATGTGTATGTTGTAAATGGGTATTATTAGTTTTTCGCCTTTGGCAATTAAAATGTCATCCTCCGGTACTTTGTAGGCAATTGTCGATTCTCTCATTAATACAGTGGCCGGCGGATATTTTCGCAGCGTTTCTGTTAAACAGTCGATAAATTATTGTAGGTACGTTGAACATTTTTATTTTATACCACATTGCTATTTGTTGGCAAGATCAAAGTGAGTTGGGCACGCCACGCCGGTTGTTATACAATGAATTACAAAAATGGCAAACCTGATATAACCATTTGCAAATAGCGAAGGTCTTTCAAGTAGTCTTGACTGATATCTCCGTTGTACTTGGTTTTAGTATGAGTGGCTTCTTCTCGGACCCGATCTTGTATTGTCTTGTTCAGGGCGAGCTCATACAGGCAGTAACTCATTGTGGATGATACCGTTTCGAAACCAGCAAGGAACATCAAGAACGCATTAGCGATAATATCCGTTTGTTTAAAGACAACTATAAGAAAACAAAATACGTCAAACTTATTAATAGATATCATCATCGTGTAGCTTAACATGTCTTGAAGGCCAAATTATCATAATAATTACTTTTATAATAGGCAAATTAAAGTTATTAAAGTTGCTTTATTTTCAATGAAACTCAAAATATGCAATTATTTTGCGTTATAATTATTAATTTAGTCTGGAAAACACTGATTTTACGCTGCCGTAGGAATTTTGTAAGAGCAATATAAACTACCTAAAGTTTTTATCTATTTACTGTGATTTTTTATTATTCATTGATATTTTAGTGTAATTGATACTTGGAAGGTAACAAAATGTGTATGAACAGAAAAAAAACTAAGGTTAATCCTAACTAAATCTTCCAGCCTGATTGCTTGACTATTTTAAAAAAATTCAGTTTTTGTACAATGTTTACCCTTAGTATGATTATATATGATATATTTATTTATACATTTCTTCTGTTCGTGTGTAAGTATTCAAACTCCCCCTAAACGGCTGGACAGATTTTTATTAAATTTTGTGTGCGCGATTAAGTTGATTCGAGAAAAGTTTAGATTCACAATTTGATCCGATAGAACATGTATTTAATTTTTAATTAATTTATATGATACAGTGATCCGATCAGCTGATTGTGTGTCTAATACACGGACAACGCCGGGTCGGGACAGTTTATATATATATACATTTTCTTTTCTAATTGAATGTAATCAAAATTAAATAACTTAATAGTTAATTAGACTTAACTTTTTGCAAATATTATTGTTTATTATTTTATAATTTTATGATTTCGAAGTCGTCAAGTAAAAAACATAATAGATTATTATATTATACCTACATATGTTAAATTTTAAGTTAAATAAGTTTATGAAGCTCTAAAACGTATTTGAAAAGGTAAATGTATAAAAACTGTATAATTTAATAATATCATTAGCCCTTTTCCTTAAACGGTTTAAACTGTTTTGTTTATTTCAATTTTTTGGTAAAAACTTATTAACGTATGGTTCCAAAATCAGACGGCTAGTTATTGCATATGTTATGTATCTTATAAATAAGGTATAAACATGTCAACTTTTGTTTGACTTTTATTAAAGCCGTCAATTTTCATTTAGGCCCTTTGTCCGGACAACATCTCAATTTTATTATGTTAAAAACACAACAACGAGTAAAGACCAAATAACTCTTATATTTGTTTGGAAAGGCTTCGGGCTTGCCTTTATATTGGATCCTTTGCTCCAGAGACAACAAATTATAAACAATCATAAAAAAATAATTTCTGATAATTACGGAGTACGTTTGTTAGGCTATGACGATATAAAACAAATGTGTGCTTTTTAAGACTACATAAATTCAGGCAGTAAAATAAAACTTTGTTATTTTCGACTACGCCGTAACGTATAATTGCTAATTTTTTGTTTGCATTCAAGAATTTAAAAAAAACCACACATTTTTTAAATTTCAGAAAATCCATTTTAACACCTCCAGAGGAGTAAGACCCTAGCCAAGGGTGTATGACATTGGATTCCAAACCACTCAGTATACAATAAATATATTGTTTTGAGCTATTCATAATTAAAATTTTTTTTTAAATATTTTCATGTTTAAAAGATATAATTGCAATTTTTGGAAACCAAAATAAAAGTCATGAAAAAATGGGACATTGTATAGTTTAGAAGCATATTTCTTGGTAGGGGATCACGATTCATTCAATTAATATGACACTCTAGATTTATAACAATTAGATAAAGTTAAATTTTGTACATAAAACGTCGTAAGTACACATAGACTTTGTGATGTTTTTTTTTTCATTAAAATTATTATCATTGTTTAATATGTAATGAATTGTTTTTTTATAATAATTGTCTATCAATAGTAATAATACCATAAATCAAACAAAAATTGCTGTTCTCTAGACTCTGGATTATTTACATAGAATTCGCATTACCTGATGGTTCAGTCTTGTTAATCACTAAATCCGTATTGGCCTGTATCAGGTTTTGCACGAGATCGTCTCGCATTATGCTGCTTTTCTGTCTGTACTCAATCGTGTCCGTGAAAGCCTTTATGAAAAATTTAGTTATTTGTGGCGGCATGTCCTTGAGGTACAGCTTCTTTTTAATAGCCGGCGAAATAAACGTAATCATATTGGCCAGAATCGTCATAAACGAAGGGTTGAACACGGCTCTGCCGGCTCGACGGAAAGGTGAGTCGTGGTCGGTTATGGCGTTTAGGTGCAAACCAAACGCACACGTGCCGATGACGTCGGTGGAATAATTTGCCATGATGTTCCTGACTTCGAGCACGTCGGTTTTGGCTAAGTGTGCGTTCAAATTGTTCAACAACCCGCTACTGCATTCTGCAATCTGCCCGTACATGTTCTTCAGCATGCGAGATGTGAACACCGGGCTCATTTTGCCCCGCATTATTTTCCACTGTTGGCCTCTCATGCTGAACAAATGATTGGCCAGTGGTGCTTCTTCGTCGACGGGTATACCGTGGTCGGTGAAGTGCGCAAAGTCCTTGATGAGAATGTCGTTGATGAGCTTTGGGTCGCGCACTAGCAACAGGGGCGCCCGCATTTGATAGAAGCCGATGCATTTCCTTCCGGACGGATGTCTGTAGACGGTTTCGAAAATTTCGAACGGATGTCTCAGGCCGACGGCGGCCTTAAGGAAATTTCCAAAAAGCGGCACAGGACGCAAGTACGGTACGTTGCGTTTACGCCAGTGGTCATAAGTGCAAGTACAAAAATAATAAAACACCGACAAAAAGGCGACCAGCAACACGGTCGTGTCCCAAAACGTCAGCATGTTTGTGCTACACTCGCTATTTTTCTACTACTCGAACATATTTTGTCTGCTACTCTGGAGACAAATTTATATAGTAGTCCCCTCCAGTTGTTATTGATTCATCATAACACTGAACGTTGACCACTAATTATTTTAATTTCAAACATAGCGTCCAAGAAGCTCGGCTCGATGTTTCTGTGTTGTTCGACGTTGTACTCTTACAAAATAAATACACAGACTTTGAACAAGTATTAGGCGGCAATTATGTAGGTATTGTTTTTTTTTATATACACGCTGTTATCGTACAGTATTATTCATAGCTATAGCATGAGCTATTGTTGACTCTGAACCTAATAATAGCAGTGATACTAGTTAATAAATTATATTATAATTAGATAGACCGTTCGTTTGTTCACAATTATTTCATTATTATTACTCAACGCTCAATTTAAATAGTGTACTACGCAATCGTCGTACGAATTCATAATAATAAACGATTATTAAATACTGATTTATTTCAGTGTATGATAATAATTGCTGTTGTTGTTGTTGGTTTTTAGCTATCATGCATTAGATAAAAAGGTATTAATTTAACGATAATGTGTTTTTATTTATTTTTATCTCAAACCACTTTTTTTTCTTTTAGACTGATTTACTCAAATAGCGACCCTATCGTTCCGTAATCGTATTCGATTAGTACTTTGGTATGTCAAAAGAAGAAAAGTTAACCCGTTCCCCTTCAAAATTTATAAAAACAACCAACAAATTTACATAGTTCGGCCGATAAACGTTAGCAAACCAAATAAATATCAAAACCCCCTTTTTCTGGACGTTTTTGTGCCAATTGTTTACCGTTGTAAATTACTAAGTTGTTATGTGTGAGTGAATCAACAGTGGACAGGTATTGAAACCATTATATTTCATTATATTGTTAATTACAATGTATGGATAACACTGGCAGTAAATTATTATAGACATACGGTCAACTCTAGTCCACCCTTATAATAAAAATATGTTTTTTTAGCTCGTTATGTTATTACAATGGTTTTTATCGATATTTGTAATTACTATTACAGGTTCGCATCAAAGCGTTTATTTGAAATTAACTTCATCACCTTTAGTTGTAACTATTCATATAGAAATGTGAACTTCCCTGACCCAATATGCCCCAACCACACTGTACTGTATTTTTATATTTCCAGTTCACTTTAAATTCGAATACAGTTAACAATTAATTTTCCATAAAATTATTAACTTTTTTCATTTAATTGAAAGTATAAACAACATTTGGCCCCATTTATATTAACATATTAAATTATTTTTTGCTTATAAAAACAAATAATTGTCAAAAACATACTATACTCCGTTACGTTTTTCTTTGTCTTAAAAATAAATAGCACACTCAAGTGACATATCATTTTATGTAGGAAATAGTAATACATCAACGATGATTTGTATTATTTTGGTATGGAAAAAAAACAGTTAAATTTGCAAATATATCCGTACATACAAATTCATTACAGCGAAATATATGAAAATTTACTCGTTTGGTTTGCTCGACCACTCGCTTGGGGGAGGCTGTGAAGAGTAAAAAGCCTATTATATTGCTCTACAAAAGTGGGTGCTTTGGAGAACCAGATAAAAATGTTTTATATTTTAATATAACGAAATAATAAAATAAGGTTATATTGAAAGTGAGAGCTATCTTTTAAATTCCGACTTTAGATTTGGACATAGGAATTGACAAGTCGAGTCCGTCAGAGGTCTGACTTTTTTTTTGTGAGTGACTGTGTAATCAAAGAATGATGACCGTCGACAGACATACTAACATAACTTAGTGGACATTGTCACGGTAGTGCAGAGTTTTTTTCCGAAGCCGTTAACCATGAATCGATACTTATAGAACTATTATACATCAGACTAAGCACGATCGGAATTTATTTTATTTTTATGGTTAAAGTTTGATTCCTCTTCGAGTCAAAGTACACGGAAAAAATATTGACAAAATAATACTTATAGAGGAACCAAAAGTTGAAATAAGTATAATTTGAATTTCTTTATTTTCAAAAAGCTAAAAAAAGATTGTTTCTGATTTTTTTGTAAAAATATTATTAAAAAAATCGGCTGTTGTTTATTATTATTAATCAATGCTGTAATAGTCTGATAAAATACTGTTAGTAATGATGTTATACAAATAATAAATATATAATATAGTTTTAGCCGAGTTACTTGTTTAAGAAGACTTAAAAAAAACATGTTGGATTCTATTACTGAATGGCCTCCCTCCTCATTTGATATCACCGCTTTATTAGCATATGTTATCTTTTTTGCTTATAATGCCTTGTAGCAAAGACTGTATATATTCTTTTAATAATGTTATAATTAAAAAAATAACATTTCATATACATACTCAACGCCTTAATATAGAGTGATCCTTTTCAAATCATAAAAATGTCAATGAATTTATCTAAATGACATATTTTATTAATAACTGCTATATAATATATTTAAAAACATCTAGGTATTACTGGTATTCACAAAAAACACTTTTAGAAAATGTTTTATTTCTAAATTGTTGTGTGGCCTGTGGATAGACAGTAGATACTTGTGTAGAGAATATATTGTATGCATGACAGTTAAAATAAGACATTAAAAATAAATTTATTTATACATTACTTAATATTACATCATAACAAAAATTAATTAAGAATCGATACGCTTAAATCTCAACCATATGTTTAGATTTTGCCGTTAAGATTTCATTGATAAAAGAAGCCCATTTTATCGCCTACGTTCTCAAAAAAGAAAACTAGAAAGATACTCTAATGAGTATTACTCGTGGTAATCGGGGTAATACTTTAAATAAGTATATAATTTCTATATATTGAGTACTAAATATGAAATTAGTCTTTTCAAAATCGTGCAGTTGTTATACAAAACCGAATACAGTATACATATTTATATTATAAAATAACTGGTCAAATCAGTATTATAATAACATGTTATGTTTTTTCTAGATAATATTATTATTCTATTGCAGTTATATCACAGTTCTGTTAAAGTTATATTTAAGTTAGTAATTTACAGTTATAAGTATATATTATGAGCCAAGTTTCTCAAATATTGGACTTGTGCGCCATCATCAGCATGTTCCTTGTATGATTCAACGAATCACCGCAGTCGTGTCTGGGCGTCCAACCACTACTATTGAGGTGCAGCTTTCATTCTTTTCGCGACGCTTGAATCGACAATAACGCTCTCCGAATGAGCCTGATCTTTCTGCAACTCTGTCAATAATAAATACATAAGTCCGGATGTGCTTTTCCGACGACAACATTGAACCTATTATGCCATCCCTCGCTAAGATTGTTGGTTTTTTGGTCTCCAATTAGCGCAGTGTCGTACTGATTCCACAGTACTGGTGAATAGTGAGGAGCGACAGCTCTAAACTATTATTCCTGCACCTAGTACCGGTATATTTGTTATCGCTCGAGTGTTGCACTCCTTCGAACGCACACTTTTCGACACTCCGTATCCGTCGAGAAAAAGATAATGTACTAGAACTTTCACGAACTTGGCCCACCGATATTTTTTGATCTGATCAGAAATTATATCAAAAGTTTGCAAGTAATTTGCAAGAGTTTGCAAGTCCATTTTCAAAGTTTGCAAGTAAATATTACACGAGATAAGACAAATTTTACGTATGGTGGGCCAACTTCATGTAGCCCGGAAACTTCCTCCGAGCGACTCCGGACCCGTGCCAGTCGGTTTTTCTCAGTTTGCAACTATTTGGAAGTCTAACCCTGTAATTTGAAGTTTATATAAAACTAATTTCTTCCAAAAGCAAAAAGTCAAATTATTTAAGACAATAAGAGTGAGACAACCTAAACGTTTTTATAATAATCAACTAATATCATATATAAAACAAAATGCATTCAATAGTTAGGAATCAAATTATATAATACCTAATTTAAATATAGAAATAAATAAAATGATAAAAAATTAGACATAAGTAAAAAAAATTATTTTAACTTATTAGATGCTTTTGTACCACCCAAGCTGTTCCGGAGATCCCGAAATAGTGTCAAATTAAGAGTTATAAGTTGCAAGTCCACTAAATGTATTCAAAATCATACTATAACATGAAAAACTCTACTTTTCAATTTGCAAGTTTAGTTTTAGAATTTGCAGGTCCACAATTTTGTTTGCAAATTAAATAGTTAATTGTATGATAATTTTAAATACATTTAATAAGTTTGAAAATTAAATCACTCAATTTTTTAAGTAATAAATAGTTAAATGAATTGTATTTTAATATGATTTTGAAAACATTTAGTGCCTTGCAAATTGATAAGTAGAGTATTTTACATGTTATAGGATGATTCTGTACAATTATTGTAGACTTGCTAACTAAATTATTCAATTCACTAAATTGTACTACTAGAAATAATACAAAAAAAAATTGCTTCGGTTGATTCCGGACCGGTGCCACTCGATTCGTTTTAGTTCGGAACTATTTGCAAGTCCAAACCCTCATTTGCAGTTTATTTAAAACTAATTTCTTCAGAGAGTAAAGAATTCAAACTATTTAAGAAAATAAGAACTAAAATATTCATAAACACCTATATATTATACAAAAAAACAATATAATTGTTATACGAGCATAATAAAAAAGTTCATAGTGAAAAACTATCATGGGAAATTATTACTTTTATCTAATATACATTTTAACAATTTTCTTTCATAGTGAAGAATGTAATATTAAAAACTTACCTATTTTTTTAAATCTAATTCTATGACATTAAATAAACTAAATTAAAATAAAATTATACATTTGTACACTGTGTTATTTAGAGTACGTAATTAAATTTACATTATCAAGCGTTTTTATGTTGCGATGGGCTTTAATTTCATGTCGTCATAAATCTCTCAAATATTATTACTACGGCACATTGACACATAATGACCAATAGTTGACAGTTGTAGATTGTCGCCAACCGTAAATATAATACAACCACGCAAATGATATAATGGACAATTTTCAAAAATACACTGTGCTTAATTTTTGATCGATGAATAGAACAGAAGTCGTTTGAGAAATATATGATTTATGAGAAAAATACAATTTAAAAAAAAAAAAACGGTTCGTGATAAATGATTTTTGAGAAATATGATTTTTAAGAAATTTATGACATTTGAGAATTATGATTATTGAGAAAATTATGATTTTTAAGAAAAAATATGATTTTTGATATTCGCATATCGTATAAATTACACAAAAATCATATATTTCTTGAAAAATTATTGTTCTCAAAAATCATTCAAAAAAATTCGTATGAATCTCAAAAATCATATATTTCTCAAAAATGACGACTGCGGCGATTCGTTGAATCATACGAGTAACATGCTGAAGATGGCGCACAAGTCCAATATTTGAGAAACTTGGCTCATAATATATACATATAACTGTAAATTACTAACTGAAATATAAATGCAATAGAATAATAATAATAGAATAAATAATAATAGAATGATAATAGAATTTCTTGCTTTTTGCAAATTACTTGCAAACTTTTGATATAATTTTTGATCAGATCAAATAATATTTGTAGGCCAAGTTCAAGTACGTGAACTTTTGATTTGATGAAACGGTCATGCGGGAATAATTTGTTTACAGAAAATTGGATACAGAAAATGAGTACGGAAAAATGTACTGTAATCGTCTCTACCTATTATAATGTACAAGGGCATGCTGTGTAATCAAACCGGTTTTGAGTGGGAGCGTAATTGGTTCTTAATATTAAATAAGTCATTAAATACTCTTATTTAATAATATCATTGCATTTTATAAAATGATTACAACTCATCCAGTTTTGTTTAATATCACGGAGTTTATTTAACTAATGGGTATATTCCATCAGTATATTTCAATCAACATTTTTTTTATGTAATAATTTTATAAAATTATCATAGCATTCCTTAGATAAAATAAATTATTATAACTCAGTGGTCTTTTACATGAACATTTTAGCTACTTTATAACGGTTTTCTATACAAATTTATAGGTATTGATTTATAAGTATTTAATAACAACAATTTTTTACTTGAAAACGTGGTCAAATAACTTGGGTCAGAGATTTATTAGTTTACGTATAATACGTAATACACTTAAGTAAACGTGAAAATTATCAAGGCAAAAGTCTTGAACTATGCCAAACTCATGAAATTTAATCAAATCGGATACAAGCAAAATAACATTAACATTAGTTAAATCAATTTCCTAAAAACTTTTTAAATGATCTATAATATTTTTAGAACTTTTAAATGTGTTTTGTAAAGTAATTAAATGTTATCGTAGGCATTTATCAAACAAAAAACTTATACAATATACAATATTCACTTAGAGTTAGTACATACATTTTTTTGAAAAAGAATATAGCTATAAATACAAACATTTTATTGCATTTTAATAGCTATAGTAAAGATCATAATATCGTATAGAAAGTCAATAAATATTAATTGAAGACGATTGAAAATGAACTATTTTATCATAAGATAATAATACAAACTAATACATAGCTAAAATTAACTAAGAACAGATAGGCAAAAAAAATGTCTGATATTATGTTATTATTTCTTACTTATGATGATTAATTTATCATATAACAATCATTATTAGATTTTACATCATAACAAAAATGATTTAAGAATCAATACGTTTAAATCTCAACCATATTCCATTTTCGGGACAAGTAGTTATAGCTATCTTTTTCGGTTTCATGGGAACATCAGTTTTTTCACAAGGCTCTACTCGGTACTTAATTAATAGTTTAGAAAGTGCCAATTTCATCTCCATTTCGGCAAAACGCTTTCCTAGGTAAAACACAATTAAGTAATGTATATTTATTTGTTCCTGTTCTCCTATCTAATGATAACTATGAACTGATATAGTTATTACCTAAACATATACGAGGTCCTTCTCCAAAAGGCATGTAAACACCACTTGGTCTTTTGACTTTTTCTTCGGGTGTAAAACGTTCCGGATTGAAGGTAATCGGATCCGGGTAATACATTGGGTCCATGTGTAGGCTGTATGCAGGTATAGCGATTTTAGTTCCTTTTTCTATTACCAAATCTTCTCCATGAACTTTGTAAGACTCTGAAGCTTCTCTGAAGATTATTGATAATGGCGGATACATACGTAGAGTTTCTACGGAAAAAACATGCGTGCAAACAAATTAGTTTATTTTACTTTCAAAAAGTTTTTTTAATAATCTTAGTTAATTAATAAAAAAAAAGCAATGACTCTGACCTGATATGACCATTTCAAGGTATGAAAGTTCTGTTAAGAAATCGTTATTGAGCTCGCTGTTATGTTTAGACATTGCGGTCAAGATTTCATCGCGAACACGGTCTTGGATATGATTTTTTAGAGCCAGTTCATATAAACAGTAGCTCATGGTAGTCGAAACCGTCTCAAACCCAGCAAGGAACGTGATAAAAGCGTTTGCTGCTATATCTGTTTCTTTGTAGTTCACTGCGACAACCAAAAAAATTGATAAATAGCAGTTGTATTGTATTAACGTTTAGGAGTATTAAAATTTGAATAGTTAAAAATTGTTTTTTTTTTAACTTATCAGGAAGTAAGATTAAGTTTCTTTTATTATTCAACAAGAAAATTATTTAGAAAAAATACTGCGAGGTGTGCGAGGAATGTAGACAAAAAATGATGAGTTTGTCAACATAAACATAAAGTTTTAGTTACTAAGAAAATTGTTAGGCATGAATCATACATAGATATTGCAGAGAGAACACAAATATATTGCGTTGAGCGTTGATACATTGCTGCCTTATCTCAGTCCACCACGCGCCTATACATTTTTTTTTTAAATTATTCTTGTTACAGGTTCTCGCGCCTATCGTAAAAGGCGACTATTGTGACGTCGAGCCGAACGAGCCTTCAGCCGATCCACTTCTCTTGTGACACACCTTCCCCGGCCCGCAATTAGCGCCTAGCGCTACTAGTCGGTCCGTGGTCGTAGGGGACCCCTTAGGGGCGAACCACTAAAGCCAAGGTACGATCGATCGATTATTCTTGTTAATGTTTTACTAAATAATAATCTGAATAAAAAGAATGAACGGAAGAAAAATTTTTTTACTGTACCATACAATATTGTCAAAATACATGTAGATTTTTCAAATATTTAATGAAACAAATAATTCAAAAAATTATTTTATCGCGTATTGCAAATTATAAATTTAAATTTGTTTATAAAATTAAATATTTATATATTATTAAGTTTAAAGTAAACAGTAATGAAGGTACTTGTATGTTATCGCGACTACTTGAATATGCGGTGGAAAAGGATCTCACCCTGGTGGACTACCAATGGGTATCACAATTCCGTTACCGCGACTCCCAGTGACGAACACCGTAATACAATACAATAATTTTTTTAATTAATAATTAATGTGAGGGGTAATAGTGAGGTGAAATTGAAAGTGTGGTTTACTGTTAAGTGGTTGAAACCTGAGACTTTAACTCCTCTGTCTTTTAATCACGCCAACAATCAGAATGAAACAGTTGTGTCTATTTTGATATTATTTTTAATTACTTCTATGATTTAACGTTACATTTCCAAAATATTTGTTTTCGAATATACAACTTTGATTCATGACCATACCCACACACACGTCTTATAGGTAAAATACCATGATCTTGGAAAAATGTCACGGCATCTATTACATTCGATGGTAAATCCCAGATTTGCATGGTAAAATGATTAACAAATTTTAAAAATTTTAAAAATTAAAATCAACGTGTTTGTGTGTTGATAAGTCTGAACAAGGTCATAATAGGTCATAATACGATAACCACAGTTTAGTTTGGTATGAATATGCCTGAAATGTATGTTATTACTACTCTAAATTATTATTTAAGAAGTTTAGTTTCATTGTTTTATATTCATTATGAAACTACAGTGATAATAAAAATATAATACCATTACCTGATGGTTCCAATTTGTTGATGATTAAATCTTGTCTAGCCTGCATCAAACACTGCACAAGATCGTTTCTCACAATATTGTTTTTTCTTCTGTAGTCCATCGTTTGGTTAAGCGATGATTCGAAAAATTGTGTTGCCTCTGGAGGATAGTCGCTAAAGTTCAACATTTTCCTAAACGATGGCGAAATATACGTGATAACATCTCTCATAAGCAATCTGAGTGTCGCCGTGAACACGGCTTTTCCGGCTTTCCGGAATTGCGAATCTTTATCAACGATGGCGTTTAACTGAAGCCCAAAAGCGCAAGTACCGATTACGTCCGTCGAATAATCACCCATGATGTCACGCACTTCTAACACGTCCGATTGAATTAAATTCATTTCCAAATTCTTCATCAATTGGTCACTACATTCTTTAATCTGATAGTGCATGTTTTTTAGTTTTGATGATGTAAAAACTGAGCTAATTTTGCTTCTCATAATTTTCCATTTCTGTCCTTTCATCGCAAACAAATGGTTCGACAGAGGAGTAGCATTGACATCCAAAGGCATAAATTTGTCTGTGAAATGTGAGAAATCCTTTATGAGTACCTTAGTTATGAGATCCGGATCGCGAAGCATTAATGTTGGCGCTCTCATCTGGTAAATTCCCCAGTACTTGTGTCCAAAACTTTGTTTATACAATCTGTTGAAAAGATCAGAAATGTGTTCGATTCCAAAGATGACAGTTGCGAAATTTCCAAACATTGGCAGTGGTCGGCCGTACGGCACGTTTCTTTTGCGCCAATATCCATAAGTGGAAATGCTAAAGTAATATAATAAACACCCTAAAACTAAGAACAACGCGCACGTGTACATAAAGCAAGTGCCGGTAAAAATCGATGTACCGACTAACGATAACATGATTGGACTTTATCTGCGCATGAAAGAAAACTACAAGCAAAAATAAATTCTGTAGTATGGCCTTAGCATTTTTTCAAACACAGTCCCTACTTATATTGATTTATAAAAACATGACGTGTAGTTAAACTGGTTTTGAGTAGTGGGAGCGTGTTCCTTACTACCTTATAGAGAATTTTAAATATGAAAAAATATTTTATCTTTTTGTCTGTAAATGAATCATAAAAAATAATTTTTAATAAAACGGAACGGTTTTTAAAGTTATTATTAAATAACTTAAATGATGGCAGTAAGGATTAAAATATTTAATTTGAATTTCATTGTTATTAAGAATAAATAATTTTTATTCTGAAATGTAGAAAAAAATATTTGATCACTTTAATTATTATTTAAAGTTCAGTATTTCAAGATTTCTATTTATCTATTTTAAAATAGACTAATTGTATATTAATTAATTACTCAACATTGTTTTAAAACATTATTTCAAGTATATAATATTGTGAACAAAAATTCACTTTTAATATTATTGTTACTATTTTTATTACTTATTTTATTAACATTTTTAGCTTCAAAGCAAAGCGAGAAGGTATTGGTTTTACTCTGATGTGGGCTTTTTTTTTAGCTGTACGCATTGTAACTTTTTTAATACTAGACCAATTCCTTCGAATAGCAATTCTATAAAATCACAAATTTTATCTAGTTTGTACTTTAGGGGGGTAAAAGTTGAAAAAGTTTAATTCTTCACAGACGAAATTTGAAAAAACAAAATAAAAACCGTACGAGTTTTTAAGTTGGAACTTTTACTGGCTATAATTTCGAGAAAAAGAGTCGGATCGAGTTGAAATGCATAAGAAATAATTATTTGGTATTCCCGCACACGTCAATTGTGTCAAATTTAATTTATATCCATTTCCCACCCCCCTAGGAGGGGGGTACAAGTTTTTTTGTTTTTTTGGGGTTTTTAGCCGTAATTTTAAAACTTTTGGGTTGAAAATTTGCCAGTAGTTGGAACTCATATGTATCCATTTTTGACTTTAAGTTTACACAAATTCAAATTTTTTTTTTTTTAACTAAAAACACGGTGTACCAGATGTGAGAAATGAACAGACTAAAAACTATCAGTTGGTAACGTCTATCCGTGTTAGGTTAGGTTAGGGCCCAACAAAACCCTAAACAATTTGTTTAAATAAAATGTAATAAAAACAATTATTATAAGAGTGTAACCTGTTAGTATGTACTTTATTATTGTATTGTCAAATATAAGTTATTAATTCAATAAATCAAAAATTCATCTTATTATAATAATTAAACAATATCATATATAAAAAAAATTTCTTTCTATAATTAATAAATCGAATGAAAAAAAAATATAATAATTAAAATACAGAAAAATAAATAAAATCTTAAAAAACATCATCATCAAGCTTAACGGAACTTATTAGCCCGTATTTAAGAATCAATACGTTTAAATCTTAACCATATTCCGTTTTCGGGAACAGTAGTTAGAGCTAGCTTTTTCGGTTTCATGGGAACATCAGTTTTTTCACAAGGTTCTATTTGGTACATAGTTAATAGTTTAGAAAGTGCCAATTTCATCTCCATTTCGGCAAAACGTTTTCCTAGAAATATCAAAAAAAAAAAAACCATAGCTATAACATAATTTTATGAAAACGTTTATTTTCCTGTTTTCATATCTAATGATAACTATAAACTGTTAAAAATAGCAATACCTAAACATATACGAGGCCCTTCTCCGAAAGGCATGTAAACACCACTTGGCCTTTTGGCTTTTTCTTCGGGTGTAAAACGTTCTGGATTGAAGCGTATTCGGATCAGGGTAATACATTGGATCCATGTGTAGGCTGTATGCAGGTATAGCGATTTTAGTACCCTTTTCTATTACCAAATCTTCTCCAGGAACTTTGTAGGACTTTGTAGCTTCTCTGATAATAATCGATAAAGGTGGATACATACGTAGAGTTTCTACGGAAAACAGGTACGTACACAAATTAGTTTATTTTACTTTCAAAAAGTTTTTCGGTAATCTTAGTTAAATATCGAAAAAAAAAATCAACGACACTGACCTGATATGACCATTTCCAGGTATGAAAGTTCTGTTAAGAAATCGTTATTGAGCTCGCTGTTATGTTTAGACATTGCGGTCAAGATTTCATCGCGAACACGGTCTTGGATATGATTTTTTAGAGCCAGTTCATATAAACAGTAGCTCATGGTAGTCGAAACCGTCTCAAACCCAGCAAGAAACATGAGAAAAGCGTTTGCAGCTATATCCGTTTCTCTATAGATCACTACAGAGTAACATAAATGACAAATTATATAAACGAAAATGTGGGAAATTAATTCTTATCAATAATTTATAGGAGGCGATATAGTATATGATTAGCTTTATGCAAAATTGGCCTTAGTTCTTAACTTTAAACTTTTGGAAAACGAAAAAACGTTTGATATGTTAGATACGATTATATGTTTTTTGATATTTAAAATGCTTGTTTACAATAGGCTTTAGTAATGAGACTAAAGCCGTTTTAACATTATTGGATAAGTAAAGTGATAACGAATCTGTAATAATCACGTTTTTGATAAAATGATGTTTTATGCCCTTTTTGCATGAAACAATTCATATAATATAATGTTTATCTGCTTATAGTTGTACATATTATATTTATAATAACAGAGATATTATTATTAAGGATATTTTTAAACTAAGCAAGGAATAATTGTTTTTTTTTCTTATTGTACGAGAAAGAGTATAAATTTTTTTTTAACTACAATTTCATAAATGTAATGCTTAGTTTAATTTTTAGGTAGGGTGTGGGAGAAACATAGACTTTGGTTAAAGTTTGTCGACGAATATATAAAGTTATAACCACTAAAAAAATGGTTTGGCTGGAATTTTACGTGAATATGTAAGAAAGAAAACAATTATATTATAGTAAATCCCACAGATCAGCTAGTAATAATAGGTTAAGAGTTCATAATATGATGATTTATATTACCCAAGATTAAAATAGGTTTTTGCCAAACATAAATTATTTTTATGTTAACAAAACAACTGGCAACTTTTTGGCTAAAAATTAGACAATTTTTTTCAAAGTAACATAGAAAAGGGAGTAGTATTATTTAAATTTTAAGTATTTTTGTTGGGAAAAATATGGTATAACATAACAATATCTGTTAAAAATATTAGGAAAAACCCAAAATGTTGAACATATATTTTAACTAAAAATGTAGTAATTAAATTACATTTTGCATAGTTAAAAAATAAAAATAAATCTTATATTTTGTCTAATAAATTATCTGAATAGAAAAATATTTACTGTACCATACTATTTTGGCTAAATACAAACATTTTTTTAAATAATAATTTATAAAAATTTAGTTTTATATTAGGTATATCATTAAATATTTTATCAAAGTAGTATTGTAAGTATTATAAAATAGTAATAAAAAAAGTTATACACTAAACAATAATTATGAAAATGTATGTTTTTACTTATCTCTAAATTGTTATCTACAAATTTTTGTTTTTTTTTTTTGGTTGCCAACATTCAGTTTTTAGATAATGGGGTACAGTACAATGGTGCGATTACTTAATCCACACTTTTTTATTTATTGTGTAACTAGTGAAGATGACAAAAATATTTTAGCTTTAAATCTAAAACTCAATGATTACCTGATGGTTCTAATTTGTTAACGATTAAATCTTGTCTAGCCTGCATCAAACACTGCACAAGATCGTTTCTCACAATATTGTTTTGTGTTCTGTACGCCATCGTTTGGTTAAACGAAGATTCGAAAAAGCCTGATGCCTCTGGAGGAAAGTCGCCTATTTTCAACATTTTCCTAAGTGATGGTGAAATAAACGTGATCAAATCTTTCACAACATTTCTAAGTGTCGCCGTGAACACGGCTTTTCCGGCTTTCCGGAATTGCGAATCTTTATCAACGATGGCGTTTAACTGAAGCCCAAAAGCGCAAGTACCGATTACGTCCGTCGAATAATCGCCCATGATGTCACGCACTTCTAACATGTCCGATTGAATTAAATTCATTTCCAAATTCTTCATCAATTGGTCACCACATTCATTAATCTGATCTTGCATGTTTTTTAGCTTTGAAGATGTAAAAACTGGGCTCATTTTGCTTCTCATAATTTTCCACTTCTGTCCTTTCATCGTGAATAGATGGTTCGTTAAAGGAGTAGTGTTGACATCTACAGGTACACCGTGGTCAGTGAAATGTGAGAAATCCTTGATGAGTACCTTAGTTATGAGATCCGGATCGCGAAGCATTAACGTTGGCGCTCTCATCTGGTAAATTCCCCAGTACTTGTGTCCAGAACTGTGTTTATACAATCTGTTGAAAAGATCAGAAATGTGTTCGATTCCGAAAGATGACAGTTGCGAAATTTCCAAACATTGGCAGTGGTCGGCCGTACGGCACGTTTCTTTTGCGCCAATATCCATAAGTGGAAATGCTAAAGTAATAAAATAAACACCCTAAAACTAAGAACAACGCGCCCGTGTACATACTCCATGTGCCAGAAAAAAACGTCGTACCGGCTAACGATAGCATGATTAATTTATGCATACATAAAATAAGACTAAAAGTAGAAATTAATTGATCGGGATGGTCTTACGTTATATACAACGAGTCCCTACTTATTATTATTAATATGTCGATGCTGTGTTATCAGACTGGTTTAAAGTGGGAACGTTTTCCGGCGGCGTATCTCTAATTACTATTATTAATTATTGTTTTGTAATGAGTTTAATATGTATAAATTACATAGCATTATAAGCCTGAGATATATAAGGTACAATAGGCCATACCTTTGTAAACCATTGCATTACATAAATCTAAAATCGATTACAAAAGGTGAGATGATAGTGAGTAACAACTTCCATAGGTGAGAACACACGTTTAACGTGTCAAACCCAATTGTTGTAACTCTAAACAAATTTTCCTTGGAACTTATCCGTGTTAATATTTAACTATTTTTCTGTGTTGTAATAATAAGTGTACTTAAGAATTGTAAAAACCCGAAATAATGCAGTGATACGGAAGATCCAAATTTTATTCACTAATTAGAAAAAAAACTTATGAATTAAATATTATGTTATTATTTCTTACCCAGGACGATTAATTTATCACATTATAATCATTATTAAGTTTTACATCATAACAAAAATGATTTAAGAATCAATACGTTTAAATTTCAACCATATTCCGTTTTCCGGAACAGTAGTTGGAGCTAACTTTTTCGGTTTCATGGGAACATCAGTTTTTTCACAAGGCTCTACTCGGTACTTAGTTAATAGTTTAGAAAGTGCCAATTTCATCTCCATTTCAGCAAAACGCTTGCCTAGAAATATCAAAAAAGAAATTATTATCTATAACATAATTTTATAACTATTAAAATTATTACCTAAGCATATACGAGGCCCTTCTCCGAAAGGCATGTAAACACCGCTTGGCCTTTTGGCTTTTTCTTCGGGTGTAAAACGTTCCGGATTGAAGGTAATCGGATCCGGGTAGTACATTGGATCCATGTGTATACTGTATGCCGGTATAGCAATTTTGGTACCCTTTTCTATTACTAAATCTTCTCCGGGAACTTTGTAGGACTCTGTAGCTTCTCTGGCAATTACCGATAAAGGTGGATACATACGAAGAGTTTCTATGAAAAATAAATGTGTGTTAATAAATTTGTCTATTTTACCCAGGCCGTTTCTAAGGAGTATAGAATAAGCAATTTTTCGAAAAATGAACTAAAATGTATACTTATTAATACAGTAATGAGGATACTTTGTTGATTGCCATTTTTTTTGTAAGACTATCACAGTCATTTTTATAGGATAAATTAAAAATTTTTCCTCATTTTTACGCAGATTAATTTTTCTAAGGCCTTATGTATAGTTTAGGAAAGAAATTTATACATATATATGTCAAAATTATCTGTGCTCTTGCATCTGTATTTTTTCAATATAAGTTTCAGTTCATTAACAGGTTGAAATATTTATAAAAAGGTCATGGTAGAGCATTTTCAATGTTGTTGTCCATATTATGTGAAAATTAGGTTTCTTAGTTTTGATTACAGTTTTTGTAAAATGTATCCAAGCAAGGCGGGATTCTTAAAGAAAATAACCAGTGTGTGACGTCCTCTTAAGAGGATTGTGCATGCGTTCAATTTTTTTGACGTTTTTGACCAAAAAGTTAAAAAAGTGGCAACTATTTATGATGGTTTGATTTAAATTCTGTTTTAATACATGAGTTCTCCAGCAACAAAGCTGGGTTATGTAGAAAACCGATTTTATAAAAATGTTTGCTTTTATTTGTAAAAAAATCAATCTGAAAAATTGCAAATGTATTTAATTTAATTACAATAAAATAAAATATTGAAATGAAAATCGGCATCCTTTATAACATGGTCGATATTTTTCTGTTTTTTTTGGTATAAAATAAATCAAAAAAGCTTTACTCATAGAAAAAACTATTTTAATAAAAACAATACCTTGATGCTTATACAATTAAACTGGTAAATTAACTAACATGGCCGAAATATATTAAAAGCAGACCGCTTTCAATACCCTTAAGTATTGTATAAAAAGCAATCAAACTAACCTGATATGACCATTTCGAGGTATGGAAGATCTATTAAGAACTCGGTATTGAACTCGCCGTTATGTTTGGTATTTGCGGTCAAGATTTCATCCCGAACGCGGTCTTGAATGTGTTTCTTCATCGCTAGTTCATATAAACAATAGCTCATGGTGTTCGAAACCGACTCAAATCCGGCAATGAACATAAGAAAAGCGTTTGCTGCTATATCCGTTTCTTTGTAGTTCACTGCGACAACATAAATTGTACATTCACTTAAAAAATCGGAATAATCAGAGAATTCTTATCAATAATTTATAGTAGGTGGTACTAAAATATTTAATTGATATCATATAAAATATCAACGATTACCTGATGGTTCTAATTTGTTGATGATTAAATCTTGTCTAGCCTGCATCAAACACTGCACGAGATCGTTTCTCACGATGTTGTTTTTTGTTCTGTAGTCCATCGTTTGGTTAAATGAAGATTCGAAAAAATCTGTTGCTTCTGGAGGGACGTCGGCAATTTTCAACATTTTTCTTAACGATGGTGAAATAAAAGTGATAACATCTCTCACAACATATTTGAGTGACAATGTAAACACAGCTTTTCCGGCTTTTCGGAAAGGTGAATCCTTATCGACGATGGCGTTTAACTGAAGCCCAAAAGCGCAAGTACCGATTACGTCCGTCGAATAATCACCCATGATGTCACGTACCTCTAACACGTCTGATTGAATTAAATTCATTTCTAAATTCTTCATCAATTGGTCACTACATTCTTTAATCTGACCTTGCATGTTTTTCAATTTTGAAGATGTGAAAACGGGGCTTATATAGTTTCTCATGATTTTCCATTTTTGTCCATTCATCGAGAATAGGTGATTCGCCAGAGGAGTAGTGTCGATATCGACAGGTATACCGTGGTCAGTGAAATGTGAGAAATCCTTTATAAGTACCTTAGTTATGAGATCCGGATCGCGAAGCATTAACGTTGGCGTTCTCATCTGGTACAATCCCCAGTACTTGTGTCCGTAACTATGTTTATACAATCTTTTGAAAAGATCAGAAAGGTGTTCGAATCCAAAGATGATTGCTGTAAAATCTCCAAACATTGGCACCGGCCGGTCATACGGCACGTTCATTTTTTGCCAATATCCATAAGTAGAAATGCTATAGTAATAAAATAAACACCCTAAAACTATGAATAACGCGCCCGTGTACATAAACCAAGTGCCGGTAAATATCGACGTATTGGCTAATGACAACATGGTTGATTTATTTTGCGGTTTAAAGAAGACTAAAAGTAAAAATGAATTCTGTTGTATGGTCTTATCATTTTTTAAACTAAGACCCTGTTTATTTTATGAATAAAAGCTTGTTGAGTAATTAAGCTGTTTCTGAGTGGAAACATTATCTATTGGAGTAGCTTTATCTATCACGAACATTCAAGTATGTAATTTAAACAATAAAATAATTTCAAAGCAATGACATCACCGGTTTTTTCAAATTTATAAGTACTATTTTTTCAATAAAAATTGTTTGATCCGTTTAATATTTTATACCTTCAGAAGCATTCCAGCCGATAGCGTACAATGTGTACCTAATAGAATACTTATTTAAAACATAACAATACAGGAAACTAATCTGGCTTATGTTCGTTAAAATTATAGTGCTGTAAATCGATCATTTTTTTAATTATTACAATTTTATATTTCTTTTAGAATTATTTAAATTTTGTTTAGTTTTTAGTGAAACGCTAAACTTGTTTTATATTATTAATATAAAATCAATGATTATATACACATATGAACAATGTGACAAAGAGTCTACGACCAAAAACACAAAACCATACATAGTGTTCTCTCCTACAATTTTTCTCAGAACTTCCTTATCATAAGACGTATAACACATAATAAAACTAGGCGCACTTTATCAAAACGTATGATTTACACAATTTTAAAGTAAATAAATTAAAGTAACTATGTCAAAGTTAGGAAATTGTATTGAATCGGATACCGTTTCCAAATGAAAAATAACACCAACTATAGGTAGTTAAAAATAAATGTCCAATAAATTGTACACAATTCTGTTAAATTGTGTCTACTTGTTTTAATAAAAGTTAAACCATTAAATATATTTTGTGGTAACAGCAAATTATCCTACCTCAAAAAAAAATTTTTTTTTATAAATTTGATTAACTATGGTAAAAATGTAAAAACCATAGCCAAAAAGAATCAATGGATATTAATTAATAATGATTGAAAATGAATCGATTTATCACGTAATAATCATTTATAACTTTTACAGTAAAATTATTTAAAAATCTGTACGTTTAAATTTTAACCATATCCCATTTTCGGGAACAGTGGTGATAGCTGGCTTTTTCAGTTTCATGGGAACATCAGCTTTTTCACAAGGCTCTACTTGGTACTTAGTTAGTAACTTAGAAAGTGCCAATTTCATCTCCATTTCGGCAAAACGCTTGCCTAAAAATAACAAAAAGGAAATTATTAGCTAAAACATAATTATATGTAAATTTCTAGGTTTCTGTTTTCCTATCTGATAATAACTATAAACTATTAAAATTATTACCTAAGCATATACGAGGCCCTTCTCCAAAAGGCACGTAAACACCACTTGGCCTTTTGACTTTTTCTTCGGGTGTAAAACGTTCTGGATTGAAGGTAATCGGATCAGGGTAATACATTGGATCCATGTGTAGACTATATGCAGGTATAGTGATTTTAGTTCCCTTTTCTATTACTAAATCTTCACCGGGAACTTTGTAGGACTCTGAAGCTTCTCTGATAATTATCGATAAAGGTGGATACATACGTAGAGTTTCCACAGAAAACATGTATTTATATAAATTAGTTTATTTTAATTTCAAAAAGTTATTCAGTAACCTTAGTTAAATAATGACAAAAAAGCAATGACTGACCTGATAGGACCATTTCCAGGTATGAAAGTTCTGTTAAGAACTCGTTACTGAACTCGCCGTTATGTTTAGACATTGCGGTTAAGATTTCATTGCGAACACGGTCTTAGATATGTGTTTTTTCAGAGCCTAGCTCGTATAAACAGTAGCTCATGGTAGTCGAAACCGTCTCAAACCCGGCAACGAACGTGAAGGAAAGCGTTTGCTGCTATATCTGTTTCTCTGTAGTTCACTACAGAGTAACATAAATGACAAATTATATAAACGAAAATGTGGGAAAATAATTCTCATCAATAATTTATAGGAGGCGATACAGTATACACAAGTAGATCAAATTATAAAAACGGAATAGTCAGATGATTCTTATTAATAAATTATAGGCGCCGGTACTGTATCTAATATATAATGAATCTATTGTTTATGGTACTGTATTGAAATTTCATTTAATATTATGGATTTTTTAAAATTATGTCAAAAAATATGATCAGGTTTCTTTTTGTATAATACAAGAAAATGTACTTTTATTATTTGGTACAATTGTTTTAATTCAATACTCTAAAATAAAAATAATTTGATTTTAAGAAGGAACAAGGAAAAGAAGTTATTTTAAGCGGATATTCGGGATTATAATTATATTATTGTTAAAAAATGATAAGGGCTTTTCATGTTTTTTTCGAAGAGGATGAAACTTGCAAAACTATTTTTATGTAAATTATAGCTATTCTGTTTGCTATAATTCAAACGTGATTCATTTTTAATAGCCGTTTTTTTAAATTTCATAAAATATTATACGATGTACACACACGGTTTTTTTTATTAATTAATAATTTATATTTTTATAAATAATCTTAAAACAATATAATATTTTTTTTAATACTAAAAAATAAACTATTTATTGTAAAAACAATATAATCTGGTTTAGATATGGACTGAATGTAGTTTTATCTAAAAACATAGAATTCAAATGAAATATTTTATTTTTGCATTTTCATTTGTATTATCTAGTATTTTTGAAAAAAATCTTAATTTCAAATACGTTTGAACAATAAATTGTTTAAATAAAAAAATTACCAAGAAAAAAATATATTTACTGTATCTGCAACTATTTTTTTTTAAAGTTACAAAGACATAAAGACTTTGAGTTATAATTATTAATTTTATTTATGAAAATTTAGTTTTTTTAGTTTAAGTGTATCAAACTAACATAATACTTTAATAGTAATCAATTTTAAGTTTTAGAGATAAAATAGAAAAATATACTAGACAATTATAAATATGTCTAAATAATATAGTATTACATCTCTAAATTGTTGTGTTGGCTTTTTGTACACACGATCTGTTTTTAGTTAACCAAGTGTGCAATACAATGGCGATGATAAAATTAGAATATTTAATCTAAAACTCGACGATTATCTGATGGTTCCAATTTGTTGGTGATTAAATCTTGTCTAGCCTGCATTAAACACTGCACGAGATCGTTTCTCACGGTATTGTTTTTTTTTCTGTAGTCCATTGTTTGGTTAAACGAAGATTCGAAAAAAGTTCACTGTGACAACAATCCACATATTATATTATAGATTAATTTATTAAAACGGAATAGTGGAATATTTTTATGAATAATTAAAAGATAGAAAAATGTTGTTATTTTTATATAGTAAAGTAAATGGAGGTTGGTTTTAAGAAGAGAAATTAAAGTAAAAGAGTTATTTTAAAAGTATATTCGAGAAGGAAATTTTTTATATTGTCAAAACATTATTAAGGTGTTTTGTATTTTCTCTAAAAATATATTTTTAGATAATCTATACAAAATTACTTTATTGAATTGTTGCCATTCGTTAGGATAAAATTAAAATGAAGTTAATTTTAAGTAGCCGTTACATTTTACTGCATATACCATATATTTAAATATTCTTCTAAATTGTTTTGCTATTGAATAAAAAAAAAATTCTAATATCTAAATAAAACAATTAACTAAAAGATAAAATATAATCATTGTACCAAACTAATATTTTTTCCAACTATTTATGATAAAAATAATTCAGAGTTATAATTTAATAGCATATTAAAATTTTTATTTTTGTTTGAGTTTTTATAATATCATACTTTTAGTATCTTAAGTATAATAAATGTATACTAAATTATTTGAAATATGTCTAAAATCTATGATATTAAATCTCTAAATTGTTATTTAGAAATTTTTCATTTATTTTTCGTCTCTAAAATTTAGAGACCTTTGACTTTATCATTCTTTTCATAAAAGTTAACCTAGTAGAAATAAGAAATTGCAAGTCCTTGTACACATAGCTCAAACATATGAATTCAATTAAAGCGCTTAAACATTTATTTAATTCTAATAGATCACACTTCATATAATAGTTGTCAGAAAATACATATATCGATACCTAAATACAATTATGTTTTGTCTTTTATACACATAGTAAAAATGTAAAGTACTATAATAGAATTAATCAATGACAATTGAGTTATTACAATTAAAAATGTATTTATAAACATACATTAATCACTATTATTATTTGTTAAATATATTGTCTAGAGATTCATTTCTTTATGTATAAAACCTAAGAGAACTAGGGTTATATAACTATGTCAAAGTCGGGAAAATTAATCAGATCGGATACAGTTTTCTAATAACAAATAACACTGTTATTAGTTAAAAAAAAGCACTAAAAATGTTTACACCCAATTAAAATTTCTGTACAATTTTAATAGTTAGAATTTTTAAATATGTATTGTAAAAACATTACAAGTAATCGTGGAAATTTCTCAAACCAAATTTCATAAACATAATATTCACTTAGACCTTATTAGAACTGTTGTCTCAGAGCATGTTAAATTTGTTTAAAATTTTATTAGTCATGATAAATAAGTAAAAGCCCATAACACATTGAATTAATAAACAAAATAAATACATGACAAATGAAAATTACTTAATTTATCAATAATGATTAATAGGTTTGACATCATAACAAAAATTATTTAAGATTTGATACGTTTAAATCTTAACCATATTCCGTTTTCGGGGACAGTAGTCGGAGCAAGCTTCTTTAGTCTCATCGGGACATCAGTTTTTTCACAGGGTTCTATTTGGTACATAGTTAATAGTTTAGAAAGTGCCAATTTCATCTCCATTTCGGCAAAACGTTTTCCTAGAAATATTATAATGAACATTATTAGGTAAAACATCATTAAATAATACATATATTTGTTCCTGTTTTCTTATCTGATAATAACTATTACCTAAGCATATACGAGGTCCTTCTCCGAAAGGCATGTAAACACCACTTGGCCTTTTGGATTTTTCCTCGGGTGTAAAACGTTCCGGATTGAAGGTAATCGGATCAGGGTAATACATTGGATCCATGTGTAGGCTGTATGCAGGTATAGCGATTTTAGTACCCTTTTCTATTACTAAATCTTCCCCAGGAACTTTGTAGGACTCTGAAGCTTCTCTGATAATAATCGATAAAGGTGGATACATACGTAGAGTTTCTACGGAAAACCGGTACGTACACAAATTAGTTTATTTTACTTTCAAAAAGTTATTCGGTAATCTTAGTTAAATATCGAAAAAAAAAATCTACGACACTGACCTGATATGACCATTTCCAGGTATGAAAGTTCTGTTAAGAACTCGTTACTGAACTCGCCGTTATGTTTAGACTTTGCGGTTAAGATTTCATTGCGAACACGGTCTTGGATGTGTTTTTTTAGAGCCAACTCGTATAAACAGTAGCTCATGGTAGTCGAAACCGTCTCAAATCCGGCAACGAACATAAGGAAAGCGTTGGCAGCTATATCCGTTTCTCTATAGTTCACTACAGAGTAACATAAATGACAAATTATATAAACGAAAATGTGGGAAAATAATTCTCATCAATAATTTATAGGAGGCGATACAGTATATAATGTAATGTTTATCAGAAAAGCGTTAGCCTCTATATCTGTTTCTCTGTAGTTCACTGTGACAACAATCCACATATTATATTATAGATTAATTTATTAAAACGGAATAGTGGAATATTTTTATGAATAATTAAAAGATAGAACAATTTTGTTATATTTATATAGTAAAGTAAATGGAGGTTTGGTTTTAAGAAGAGAAATTAAAGTAAAAAAGTTATTTTAAAAGTATATTCAAGAAGGAAATTTTTTATATTGTCAAAACATTATTAAGGTGTTTTGTATTTTCTCTAAAAATATATTTTTAGATAATCTATACAAAATTACTTTATTGAATTGTTGCCATTCGTTAGGATAAAATTAAAATGAATTTAATTTTAAGTAGCCGTTATATTTTACTGCATATACCATATACTTAAATATTCTTCTAAATTGTTTTGCTATTGAAAAAAAAAAAAATTCTAATATCTAAATAAAACAATTAACTAAAAGATAAAATATAATTATTATACCAAACTAATATTTTTTCTAACTATTTATGATAAAAATAATTCGAATTATATATTAATTGCAAATTACATTTTTTATTTTTGTTTGAGTTTTTATAATATCATACTTTTAGTATCTTAAGTATAATAAATGTATACTAAATTATTTGAAATATGTCTAAAATCTATGATATTAAATCTCTAAATTGTTTTTTAGAAATTTTTCATTTATTTTGTGTACAGTACGATGGTTCGCCCATTCAATCCACAATTATGAATAATTATTATGTAACTAGTGATGGTGAAAATAAAATGTTAGCTTTCAATCTAAAACTCAACGATTACCTGATGGTTCCAATTTGTTGATGATTAAATCTTGTCTAGCCTGCATTAAACACTGCACGAGATCGTTTCTCACGATATTGTTTTTTGTTCTGTAGTCCATCGTTTGGTTAAACGAAGATTCGAAAAAATCTGTTGCTTCTGGAGGGACGTCGGCAATTTTCAGCAGTTTCCTAAATGATGGTGAAATAAAAGTGGCCAAATCTTTTACAACCGACCTCAGTGAAACCGTAAACACAGCTTTTCCGGCTTTCCGGAATGGCGAATCTTTATCAACGATGGCGTTTAACTGAAGCCCAAAAGCGCAAGTACCGATTACGTCCGTCGAATAATCACCCATGATGTCACGCACCTCTAACACGTCTGATTGAATTAAATTCATTTCCAAATTCTTCATTAATTGGTCACTACATTCTTTAATCTGATCTTGCATGTTTTTCAGTTTTGAAGATGTGAAGACTGGGCTCATTTTGTTTCTCATGATTTTCCATTTTTGTCCATTCATCGCGAACAGATGGTTTGACAAAGGAGTAGCGTCGATATCTACAGGTATACCGTGGTCCGTGAAATGTGAGAAATCCTTTATGAGTACCTTAGTTATGAGATCCGGATCGCGAAGCATTAACGTTGGCGTTCTCATCTGGTAAATTCCCCAGTACTTGTGTTCGAAACTATGTTTATACAACCTGTTAAATAGATCAGTAATGTGTTCGAATCCAAATATGATTGTTGTGAAATTTCCAAACAATGGCACTGGCCGTTCGTACGGTACGTTCCTTTTCTGCCAATATCCATAAGTAGAAGTGCTAAAGTAATAAAATAAACATCCTAAAACTATGGACAACGCGCACGTGTTCATAAACCAAGTGCCGTTAAAAATCGACGTACTGGCTAACGATAACATGGTTGATTTATTCTGCGCATGAAAGGAGACTAAAAGTAAAAATTAATAATTGTGAGTACGGTTAACTCAGTCCCTACTTATTTTAATGTATAAAAACATGTCGTGTAGTGAAACTGGTTTTGAGTGAGAGCGTTTTCCATTGTCGTATCACGCACATTCAATTATATTTTTCAATTTAATAATGATGATTTAATAATTGTTGAGAAGCAATGACATCCCTAATGTATCTTAACTTTATAATTACTATTATTTCAAATCGTGGAATTTTTTGCTCTGCGATCTGTTTATACTTTCCTATTTGTTTGAAAGCATTGCAGCCACTAACTTAGTGCACATATAAATAATGGGACTTAGATGGTTCCGACCAAGGACATGAAACCACTCTTAGTGTTCACTCCTAAAATTTCACATCCTACAATATAATGAATTATTACATTTAAAAAAATACATTTAACATAAAATAATGACTTATGAATATTTAACTATAATAATAATAAACTAAGGATCTATTTAGTTTTTATCTTAACCACATCCGATTATCAGGAATAGTAGTTACACTTAGCTTTTTCTACTTTGTGGGAACATCAGTTTTTTTTTAAAGTTCTTACCTGGTTCTTAGTTAATAGCTGATGCATTAGAAGTTCTCAGAAAGGGATCACGACTTTCAGTTATTAATATCATACCCAAGGTTGTTAACCATACGGTATAGTCCATTTTTTTTTTGTATTCAAAACCTGTTTGGCTTAAACCTTTATGTATTCCAGATGATTAAACCATTTGTCTTATATGATATCAATAATCAATTTGAGTATGAAAGAAACAAGTTATGTACATAATTACATCATAATAGTTAACGTACATCAAATTTATTCCGGAAAAAAACCAAACACGCAATTTCTTAGAGGTTTGTAGAGTTAATAAAGATATGTCAATAATTTAAATAAAAAAAAAATTAATTTTCAGTAGGAGAAGTTAACAAATTTAAGTAAAAAAGCTTGTGTCAATATTGTAAATATTGTTGGCGTCCCAGATTCTAAACATGAAACCTGTACAAACATATTTAAGTTAGTTATAAACTTTACAATTAACAATAATTTTCGGATTGTTTTAAAAGTTGTAGACAAGCAGAAAAAACGTCTGCGTATTATTAACTTGGCAGAATTTAAACTTAAAACTATGGTACATACTAAGAAAAAAAATTATTTGCTAAGAATATTGATACAACATGGAAAGACTCGACAACACTCAAAGAAAAATAACAATCGATTTGTATAAACATTATTTATCAACCCTCAATAAAATCACTTTATTTAAATTATGAAAAAAATATTGTCACAACTTACCAACACTGCATTATTATAGTGTTAAAATATTTATAGGATCAACAGCAATAAAGTATTGATATGTATACCTCAATGATCAAATGACTATACAAATTATTATTTTAATGTGACCGTAATAGATAATATAATAGATTACATAAAACAATTTAAATTAAACAAAAATAATAATAATACGTTTTTAAGTGTAATGTATATTAATATACTTAGTGTCGATGCAAACTTGAATTATTGTTATTCTTGGGGAACTATATATACATACATATATATATATTAAATATACATGATAAAAAGTTGATATTTAATATTGAGAACTTAATATAACTACTTTATTTCTGGTTACAATACGTATTTTTCAACTAATAAAGGAAAACATAATGATGGAATGATTATTTTTACTAAAAATGCTGTAATGGTATTCCTATATAAATAATATTGTTTTGGCTAGTGAAATATTATATTAAGGCTATCAGTAAACATACGTTTGTTTATTATGTGTACAGATCATCACCTAATAATAGTTATGTTTTTATAATAAGGCTAGGCATTATTAATGATAGAGAAAAGTAATATAATGAATGTACTGAAATAATAGGAGATATTTATATTGAAATTGTAGGTACCAAACGTTGATAATGACTATTTATATATGATGGCTCATTATGGCCTCAAGTTATTTATAAATATGTTCACTAGAAAAGGTGATCATTTTTTTTTTAATCGTTTTCTCATAATAAAACATCACTTAAACTCTATAATATTTACAAAAACAAATTTACCATTCTTATAAGGACAACAATAGTTAATTTATTAAATCTAAATTGTTTAAGTTAGTCCTAACGTTAAACTTCCTTAGAAAGAAATTAATAATACAACGAGAGAAAAAAAATAAGTGATAAGTATGATAAACTAATTGAAGGACGCTGGTTTCGATAAAATAATTTTTGGATTTTTAAACCTTGTAACCAATTTGATTGACTTTATTTGACTTATAAACTTTTTAGAAGATGATAAAACTATAATAAGGAACCATTTTGGTTCAACACAGGTAAATGATTTATCATACAACTTAGTTTATCAAAAACATATTGGCATTAATGAAAACGTAATTGCAGTTTTCCTAGATATAGCAAAAGCTTTTGACAAGTGGATTAGAGTAGCTTAATTACAATAATGACAAGTATTGGTATCTCGAAATAAAGTTTATATTTGTGTATGATCTATTTAAAAATATAAAACAAAAAATTAGTGTAAATAGTGCGTTCATTAATAAAAAACAAATCGAGTATGTTATACCCAAAATGAGTTATTATAACGCCCTGTTTTGTTTATTTTATATATAAGCTGAATATATAATTTGAGGATAGATGAATTATTAATTATTTAATATATATATATATATATATATTGCTTTATCTTCTTTAGTAAATTTTAGAAAATTTGAAAATTTAAAGCTAAATTAGAAGGAAATAATTGTAAGAATTAATAATACATAATTAATTAACTAACTTAATCTTCAGATTTTAGTTTACATGATTTTTGTTTTGTTTTTATACGTAGTAAATAATATAATAATATTTAAAAATAACCTTAACTAATGTTATCATCATCAGCGTTTACAACAGACTGAGACTGATAATGGCCAAACAAAAACGAACTAGTAAAATGTGTGAGATGTAATAGACTTAACAGTAAACAAATTATTCTTAATTTTTAACATTTTTATTGCCTCTTTAATATGATTTGCTTAAAAATTATTTATAATTTATAGAAATTTTACTAATTTTATACTACATTAGTATCCAATAAATGTCCCTCGCTGGAGCTTGGTGCACTTCTTGATTTTTATGTTCTTTAAACCTAACCTATTACCTACAAAACATTTATTACATTTTCACGGTGTATTTTATAAATCTCTAATTGTTTTCTTTACTCCTATTTTGTCTTTAGATGAATTTGTTATTTTTCAAAAAAAAAGTTGAAGGGCACAGGGGAAAAACGGTAGTAGTCATATTATGGAATTTTTTTTTTCAAATATTTTTTTTCAATTTATGCCAAGAATTTATTTTTGTCAATAGATTATTTAAATTAATACATTTATTATTAGAGTAGTATTTAATATGATTTTTTTTGTTCATATGTAAGAGGTAGAGGAATTCACGAACACCGTTTTGATTGTAATACTTCTAAAACCAAAAGAAAAAGAAAATTTTACGTAGACAAAGTTTATTTTGTATTTTTATTTTACTTAATGAATTAAATATCAATTACAGAGAATATTTTATTTTAATTCAAATTTTTTCCAAAAATACCTATTTTAATAATACAATGTCTGAACTATAAGAAAAACATTTGTTTTGAGTGTCCCATTCTATGAATTCTATTTAAAAAATATCTATCTTCATGTTCCATTCGATTTTTAAAAATTTTAAATGACGGTGTAGAAAAAAATACTTTTCTAAGAAAATAAGGTGAATTTAGTACTATTACCATTGCCACAATATTCGTTCGTGCAAACTCTGCTTTTATACAACAATTAATTATGGTCCGGAAGCGTTATCTTAACAATAAAATAAATAAATACAATTTACAGCTTCATAAACTACCAAGCTTAGTTATTATTAGGGAATCGAAGTGACCAATTACGATTTCATTTAGTTAAAAATAAAACAACAGTCAGCAAATTAAGTAAGTATCAATTAGACAAGTGCTAATATGAACTAAGATTTTTCTAAGAAATTAAGTATACTCTTTTTTATAGGCAATGAGAATTATTACTGTCCCTACTTTATGGCGGTTATTTAGATAGTATATGGATATAGTATATCCTGGTGGCAATAGCTTCTAAACTCATATTACCACGTTTCATATAAAAGAGACCATAAGAACAGAAATTATTAACTTTTTATAGTGTATAAGACGATCAAAAATGAAATAATAGCAATAAACAAAACAGTGTATACTTTATTAGTAGTTGTTCAAAGTATTTTACAAATCATTTTAAAACAATAAGTTTTTTATAGTTTCTTAATGATGCTGAATTATAAATCAAGCCTCTTAAATTTCAACCATATGTCATTTTCTGGTACAGTATTCAAAGTTAGTTTCTTAAATTTCATTGGAGCATCAGTTTTTTCACATGGTTCTATTTCGTATTTTGATAATATTTCTGAAAGTGCCAATTTCATTTCTATTTCGGCAAAACGCTTACCTATAAATATTGAAAATTGTATTATTATTAAACTCAGATAAACATTTAATCAGTAACATAATAGTTTATACTTATTAATTCGAGGTTTCCGTCTAGTGAACAGCAAAACAAAATATATTTTACCGTGAAAAGATTTTAAATAATTTTTCAACTTATGTCATCTAATGATAACCGCAAAGCTGTATTTACCTAAACACTGACGAGGTCCTTCTCCAAAGGGCATATAAACCCCGCTTGGCCTTTTGGCTTTTTCTTCGGGAGTAAAACGTTCCGGATTGAAGGTAATCGGATCAGGGTAATACATTGGATCCATGTGTAGACTGTATGCAGGTATAGCAATTTTAGTTCCTTTTTCTATTACCAAATCTTCTCCAGGAACTTGGTAGGACTTTGAGGCCTCTCTGAAGATTATTGATAAAGGTGGATACATACGTAGAGTTTCTACAAAAAAATCATGTATGTAAAAAATGTATAGAAAGAAAAATATAATAATATAAATTAGCTTATTTTACTCTTAAAGAGCTTTTCGGTATGGACAGCACTTTTGTATTTTTTTTAAAAAATCATTAGTAAATATAATATAATTTTTGTGACACGCTTCAAATCATGCCATACCTCTGAATTGGGTATTCTTGAGTAATTCATAAAAAAATATTTGTTATGTAGAAATATATTAACGAAACTTCGTATTAAATAACATACCAGATTGTAGAGTTATTTAAAAGTGTAAAGGGTCGCAAAGTCAAAAAAAAAAATGAATAAGTGTTTCAACATAAAGTAAATACCATAATATAGGTTTGTTTTCCTGTTATAGATTTCTTATTTTAACAACTGGTATATTTACTAAGTCGGAAGTAGGAAAACAAACTTCGACCTCCGGCCAAGTAAACTAAATTTACATTTTTTCAAGACTGTAATAATATGTAGACAGATTTTTATTTGTTGGCAACAATATATAATACATATTACATATATTACATTATGGTATTTACTTAGTTCCTATATTATATAACGTATTTTAAGGCTTATGTTGAAATACTTTTTGTTTTTTTTACTTAGCAACTATTTACACCGAGTTAACGAAGTGTTTTTGTTGGGATATCAGTAGTTTTTTATACGAGTATATGTGAATGTAAAATATAATACTTTGAATACAATAATAATAATTACAGATCATATCACAACAATACCAACTAATACCACAAAATACCTAACACACAAAAATCGTCACAGCTAAACAAAGACACAACACATTGTCATTTGTCGATAAACTGCGGTCAGCAACAACGTCGTGCCGATCTGTCAGTAAGGAACGACGAACTAAATTTTATGTTTATTTTAAATTAAGTTTTTCATACAGTTACTTCTCAGGATTTTCATAAACATTTTCGTTGACTGTTAACAAACATGTTGTTATTTAACTAAAATGTAGAGGCTATGCAAACATGTTTATATAGTAACTTAATTGTCTAAACATATCCTAAAGGAGCAAATTTCTTTAAAAATATTGCCTACACTGTACTTAGTATTACAAAATTTGCATAAATTTATTTATACATCTTTTTTTATGAAAAAATAGACGAGGAATTGAATGGTGTGGTCAAATTATATCTGTCAAAACGTAATATTTCCAATGTTTAATTGAATTTAAAAATCGGTAATTGTGACTTAAAGTACTATTTCCATGTCCAATATTATGTCAAATCTAACTATTTACAAATTGCATCAAAACATTCTACTTCCCATGACAAATAAGTGATTGTTTTTTTAAATGCGGCAAAACACATTCCAGATATTTTACAAACGATCACGTCAAAACGCTTTAGGTTCTATACTATAAATATAGCAAAAGAAGTTAAAGTAAATGCGAAGGGTACTATTTCCAGTTGTTTTAAAACCTACAAAACCATTTTTGTATATTTTAAAGCTACGACAGAAAATCAATGTTTCTGGAAAGAACAAAAGATAGAAATAGTACGTTTTAAAATATCCCCCTGTCATACACACCTCGTATGTATAACTAGATATAGATTAATGCTACTAACCTGCTAAAACCATTTCGACATATGGTAGTTCTGCTAAAAACCCATTGTTAAGATCGCCGTTATGGTTCGACTTTGCGGTTAAGATTTCTTCGCGAACACGATCTTGAATGGGTTTTTTCAAGGCTAATTCATATAAACAGAAGCTCATAGTCGTAGATACCGTCTCGAAACCGGCCAGGAACAAAAAAAAAGCATTGGCTATTATATCCATTTCTTTAAAGCTCACTGTCATAAAATAATAAAATAATAACATAAAAATATTAATTGTTCAATCATCTAAATTCATATAGGTAGTACAATTAAAATACTAGAAGACCAAGTGGTACTCAGTCGAAAAAGTTTTTCAGTCAAGTCTGCAACCACGAAAGAGCATTTTAATGTCTCGTTGAAGTACCGAATAAATTTAGATTAGTTGTGGAATTATAATTAAAAAAAAAAAATTACATGGAGCTTCCAGTTACAGCTTAAGGCCAAGGAGATTAAAAAATTATGTACAATCAAGTTTCTGACTAAAATTGTAGTGTTTATTATCTGGCCAAAAGTAACTTAACATAGAGAATTAAACTATTTTGAATTTATTATTTAGTTCTAATTTGAACGTTGAACGTACAACATATCTTATCTTATCTCATATCAGATAACAGCGTAACGCTTTTTTTCGTAACACTTTTTTCGTTATGCTTTTTTCGATTATTTGCACAGCTAATTCCACCCCATTCCTATTCCCACCCCAACTTCATCTTCAACCCCATTTCTTTTTTGGTAACGCTTTTTTCGGAAATGTGCCAGGGTTATGTGCCAGAGCTAATACATGAAAATGTCAAAATGTTCTAATAAAATTGATCATCTAATAAGAAACTATTAAATTAAATTTGTATTGTGTTGTATATTAAAGTAAAAAATGTAATGTTATTCGGCTATATTCATATAAATATATTATTAATTGTTAATATTTAACACCTATAGTATTTATCAGTTACCTGATGGCTCTGATTTATTGATGATCAAGTCTGTCTTGGCCTGTAGCAAGCATTGCACAAAGTCATTTCTTGTGATACGGTTCTTTTCTCTGTATTCCATTGTTTGACGAAAAGAATTTTCAAAAAAATCTGTTGCAAACTTAGGGAAGTCGTAAATTTTTAACATTTTTCTCAATACTGGTGAGATATACTGGAACATATCTTTTAGTAGAAGTCTAAGTGACGGCGCGAATACAGCTCTTCCCGCTTTACGAAATAACGAGTTGTCATCAACGATGGTGTTTAACTGCAGTCCAAAAGCGCAAGTGCCGATCACGTCAATCGAATAATCGCATATGATGCTACGCACCTCTAACACGTCCGATTGCATTAATTTCAATTTCAAATTTCTGATTAATTGGTCACTACAATCTTTTATCTGATCTAGCATGCTTCTTAGTTTTGAGGATGTGAAAGCTGGGCTCAATTTGCTTCTCATGATTTTCCATTCCTGACCTTTCATAGAAAACAGGCCGTTGTTTATAGGAGAAGCGTTGATATCTACGGGAAAACCCTGATCGGTGAAATGCCAGAAATCTTTATTGAGCACCTTATTGATAAGATCCGGATCGCGAAGCATTAAGGTTGGCGTTCTCATCATGTAAAGTCCCCAGTATTTGTGCCCGGAACTCTGTTTGTAAAGCCTTCCAAAGAACTCCGTCTGATGATCAAGTCCAATCAAACTGCGGGTAAAATTTCCCAATAGCGGCACTGGCCGGTCGTGGGGCACGTTTCTTTTGAGCCAGTATCCATGAGTGGAGATGCTAAAGTAATACAATAGAAATCCTAAAACTACGAACAACGCGCCTGAGTACAAAAACCAGCTACTGGTTAAAATCGATGTACCTACTATAGATAACATGATTGCATTACATCCAATATACAACTAAAGCTGTAATTCTGTAATATATTTTTATTCTATAAATTTGTTGTTGTAAATAACGTATGACGTAGTTTGACTTTGTATTCAATTATTAGTTTAAATATTAAATATTTATAGCTGTGTTTATTAATAATTAAATGTGCTGATCTAAACTGTCGAACATTGAATAAACGAAATCAGAATGGATTCATTAATAATTTAACATAAGAAATAAAGGACGCATTATCCATGCGACTGATATACTTTAAGGTCTATTATTTGTATATCTATTATCTATATCTATTTTTTTTCTTTTCGCTGAGAAGAATTGTCGCCATTTTTTGTTTACAGAACAGCTTTTCATTCAGATTTCAATTTATCTGTGGTAACAAAAGAGTGAATTTGTGAAAAAAAAGTCTTAATATGTACTTTTATTTTTCTATACTACTGCGTATACTCTTTTTAAGTGGCAATGAAAATTATTATCTTTATTTAATGGTGGTTATATAGATAAGACATGGAAAAAGTTACCCTGGTGGTCTTCGCTTCTAAACTCATATTGATACATTTCATAAATAAGATCATAAGGACAGAAATTATTAACTTTTTATAGTAAATAAGACAATCAAAAATCATTTGAATATTAATAAGTGAAACAGCGTATAATTTGTTATTCGTTGTTCAACATTAAAAAATAATCAGGTTTTGCAGTTTTTTAATGTTACTTTATTAGGAACTAAAGCTCTTAAATTTCAACCATATCCCATTTTCTGGCACAGTAGGCCAAGTTAGTTTTTAAATTTTATTTGAGCATCAGTTTTTTCACATGGACCTACTTCGTATTTTGATAATATTTCTGAAAGTGCCAATTTCATCTCCATTTCGGCAAAACGCTTACCTATGAATATTGAAAATTGTATAATTAGTAAACTCAGATAAACTTATAATCAGTAATATAGTAGTTTACACTTATTAATGCGGGGTTTCCGACTGCAATACAAATATTTTATCGTTAAATGATTTAAATTAATTTTTCTACTTATGCCATCTAATGATAACCGAAAAGCTGCATTTACCTAAACACAGACGAGGTCCGTCTCCAAAAGGCATGTCAACACCTTTTACCTGGCCTCTTAGCTTTTTCTTCGGGAGTAAAACGTTCCGGATTGAAGGTAATCGGATCAGGGAAATACATTGGATCCATGTGTAGACTGTATGCAGGTATAGCAATTTTAGTTCCTTTTTCTATTACCAAATCTTCTCCAGGAACTTGGTAGGACTTTGAAACCTCTCTGTTAAGTACCGTTAATGATGGATACATACGTAGAGTTTCTACAAAAGAAAAATATATATTAGTTTAAATTAGCTTATTATACTCTCAATCAATTTTTCAATATGGACAAATCCTTAGAGTTTCATTAAAAATTTTAATTCTGAAAATCAATTTTTTTTGTGGCACGTGTCAAATTATGTCATACCTCTGATTCAGGTATTCTGGTATAATTAGAATAATTTATTTGTTATGTAGAAACAAATAAATTATCCGTCATAAAAAATTAATGAAACTGATCACGGATCATGGATCTGCTTTCTCTTATTTTCAAAGAACGGAAACTAAAATGTATAGTAACTTAAAAGTCTTATCTTAAATGAGCAAATTTCTGGACAACATATTACTTATTATTACAAAATTTACAATTTAACTGACCTTATTTAATAGCTAGATATAGAATTATGCTACTAACCTGCTCTAACCATATCGAGATATGGAAGCTCTGCTAAGAGACCATTGTTAAGTTCACCGATATGATTTGACATTGCGGTTATGATTTCTTCGCGAACACGATCTTGAATGTGTTTTTTCAAAGCCAACTCATATAAACAGAAGCTCATAGTCGTAGATACCGTCTCGAAACCAGCCAGGAACATAAAGAAAGCGTTGGCTATTATATCCATTTCTTTATAGCTGACTGTCATAAAATAATAACATAACAATATTATTAAAACAATATTAATTGTTCAATCATCTAAGTTCATATGGGTAGTACAATTTAAGTACTAGAAGACCAAGTGGTACTCAGTCGAAAAATGTTCTAATAAAATTGCTCAGCTAATACGAATAACTATTAAATTAAATTTGTATTGTGTTGTATATTGATATCTATTACATGTCAATGTTAAAACGCAACCACATAATATTAGTCTCAACAAATATTAATATTTTTTGTCTAACGGCCCAAGTAAAAAATGTAATGTTATTCGGCTATATTCATATAAATATATTATTAATTGTTAATATTTAACATCTATAGTATTTATCAGTTACCTGATGGCTCTGATTTATTGATGACCAAGTCTGTCCTGGCCCGTAGCATGCATTGCACAAAGTCATTTTATGTGATATGGTTCTTTTCTCTGTATTCCATTGTCTGACGAAAGAAATTCTCAAAAAAATCTGTTGCAAACTTAGGGAAGTCGGTAATTTTTAACATTTTCCTTAACTGAAGTGAGATAAACGTGCACATATCTTTCAGTTGAAGTTTTATTGACGGTGCAAACATAGCTCTTCCCAACTTTCGAAATAAAGAATTATTATCAACAATGCTGTTTAACTGCAGCCCGAAAGCACAAGTACCGATTACGTCCGTCGAATAATCACCCATGATGTCACGCACTTCCAACACGTCCGATTGAATTAATTTCAATTCTAAATGTTTGATTAATTGGTCACAATTTTTCCACATTTTTGTTTTACTCCCCTGCCATCTTAGTTTTTTTTAAAACAACTTTTGAAACTTAAATGGTAACGCATACATTTTATTAAATTTTTAATTTGAGAATAATGTATTAAACATTTGACTGGTCGATAACCAGTTTTTGATAACTGTTTTTGAAGCTATTAAAGTTTCAAGTTCAGGGCAGGAGGAAAGGTGGAGTGTAGTCTTATTTTTATCTGCGCGCAATTCCCAACCACACTTCTTCTCCTATCCTAACTTTTAAACTCTTATAATTTTAAAAATAGTTTTAAAAAATTATTCATTTTTATTTTTTTTAGCTAATAATTCACCTAATTCTGATATCTTTTTCAACATTGTAATCCACCCTTTACATGATAATAACCAAAAAACATACGATTTTTAAACGGTAACGTATAGTATCTGATAATTTAAAAATTGATAATTATGAACTGAACATTTTGACTGGTTCAAAACAAATCAGCGTTGAGTAATTACTATTAAATTTATTAGAGTTTTAAATTTGGGGCGGGAAGTAGAGTGCGGTTGAATAACACGCATAAATAACACTATATTCCACTTTACATCCCTACCTAAAATATTAAAATTTAATAACTTTAAAATCAATTATTCAAAATTTTAAAAGTTAATATAATGTATATCTACATTACCATTTAAAAGTTTTAAGTTCATAGGTTATCAAGTATTAACACGAAAGGGATGGGGTTATATTGTGGGAAAATATATTGTATTTGAGATGACTAAAAACAATAAAAATAAAAAATAAAATATTTAAAAAAAGTCTAATATGTTTTTTTAGAGGCAATATTAAACCAATCACCCTATATACATTACATTGAAATGACTGGTCGATAGTTTGTTTTAAAACATAGAGATTGTTAATTAAAAATCAAAAGTTTGTGGCATTCAATGGACGATAATGAAGTTATTCAATGATTTAATAAATATTAGTAGAACTTTATGTATCATTAAACGTCACGCGATTGATTGATTAAACTAATCAAATTTGTATGCACTCACGGTGTAATATTGTAAAGTTTGTTTTTGCTATCTTATCTAGTTCTATTACACCTACAAAACTGTAATATATCAATAAGATAATTTTTTCAAAAAATAATATATCTATAAGTAGTCTACATACTAAGCTAATGCATTTATTAAGAAAAAACATGATTAAATACCCATAGATGTTTATCATACTAAAAGTTAATATTATCGGTAGATTTGAAAATGGACTCTTATTGAAAATGAATACCTTGTTTATTACTCTGCAAAAGTATACTAAATCTTAGACCGTCTTTTAGGTACCTTTTAACAAGTCATTCAAATCAAAAACATACCTTATGTGTTATAATATAGTATTGTTTTTATTATCCCAAACAAAAACCTAACCGTGAAACAATGGCCAAGTGTTAAGCAATAAAAATGTAAAAAACAGTGTTTCTCATGAAAGTAGGAATGAAGTAAGATTATCGACTAAAATAAGAGCGGGCTTGGTCACAATGTAGATATCAGTACATTGATAGGCTGAATTTCTTTAGTATGAAACTGTCCTTTTTCACAGTTTTTGGTATTTTTGGGGAAAATCATTCCTTTTTGCTGCATCAAAGCGTTTATTTGAAAGTGGTTTTATCACTTATATTTATAATAATTCCTGTAGACCTGTGACTTCTCTATCCCACTATGCTTTAATACTTTTATGCCTTGACCCCACTGTACTGGCTTACTCGGAAAAAACCACTTTAAAATAAACCTAACCGCATCGTAGCTAAAACATTTTTCTGGATTTTTGTGTAAAAGACTTCAAAAGTGGTCAAATTATATGTTTTTGTGGTAGGTACATATTTTTTTTAATTTAAACGTGTTTATGTTAAAAACTGCAAACAACACAGTTTTCCGCAAATTAAAAAAAAAGCTGTATTCCCATTTTTTTCTTCGTTTAATATGTTATGGATACATATGAGTTCTGACTCTGGACAAATTTTCAACTTAAAGAAACATCAATAATACAACTATGAATAAAACAGTGAGTTTTCAGTTAGTGCCATTTACTAATAACATGACATGCTACATGTAAAA